TTTTGAGGGAGGTATCTTAAAATCCCATCCTTTTAAAGCTGTTAAATATAGCCCAAAGACATGCAACCATTAATTTTTGCCAAAAGGATAGCCCACTGTTACTAAAATAACTCTTTATAATGTTAGGATAAAGCAAATGCTTTTATCTTAATTTCCCAACATTAATTTAACTCTCAGAAGAACACAGCACTGAATGTATTTCAGAGCACACATGTTGTTTGTCCTTGGATCCTGTCAGACTGAAATCAGTCGACAGACTAATGATTCCTCCAACTGTGCATAACATTTGGCAGAGATTAATGTTAGATTAGTAACTAAAGTATAAATTCAGCTGTAGACAGGCCAAAGTTCCAAAAAATTTATGTACCTTTCATTGCATTTATCATTGCATTCATTGCATTTATTGCAAATACACTCTTTGAACTCATCCTCCAGGCTATCTTTGCCAATTTTATTTGTCTAATCTACAAAAAGATTCTTCTTCTGCTTCTCCCCCTGATATTGCATTTATCTGAATAGATTTTTAAGAAAACTCAATTGAGGCAAATCTGTGGAGACTCTGCACTGCATTGTGAACTGTTCCAACATTTTCACAATTGAATTAAACAATTATGTTTTGTACCAGAGGATAGATACAATGAGAATGCCTTTGGATCACTGAGTTTAAATACATCAAACCAAGGATATTAATCAACCTTTAATCGGTTTACCTGCACTATCTTATTCAAACTGGACAACTAACCTCCAAGTTGCAATTTATTTGTTCTCATCTCTCCAAATATTTACTCTGATCACAATCCTGATATTGTTGAGATTTCTGAAAAGAACAATGCAGAATTTAGTGCACCTTGAATTTTGTCAAGGAAAATGTAGCAAGCTCTTAAAAAGAGTGCCATTTTTTTCTTGTTCAATTCAACCAAATTAATGTTGCACAATCAACTGAATAAATACTGTGTGAATGTTGCTGCACTGACCCTTCCTATCCTATTCCTGGCCACCACATGTAAAAGTGAGCGAGGTGGAGAGGAGATTGAATCTGTCTGATCTTTTACTTGCTGTCTGTATGCATGGAATTTTCTGGGGGTCTGAACAACACAGTCAGTTAGGATCACATGTCCAGAATGGAACAATGAACTTCCTGACATTGTGAAAACAAATTTAATTTTCATCCAAGATTTTAATGGCCAGAAGAGAATCTTACAGTTAACTTGTGAGAGCCCTATTTGCATGCATTAACATCTCGTTATTATTTATTCCAAGTGATTCCAAAGCCAATGGATCAGATTTAAATTCTGCAGTGATGCTACAACCAATTCCAAATGGTGGTGGGATTAAACCGTTTACTTTAATATCCCCTTCCTCATTGATGGAGGAGCCCAGCACATCAGTGCCAAAGGTATGGCTGAAGCATTTACAGCAATCTTTAGCCAGCAGTGCCATGTGGACGATCCATTTCTGCCTCCTCCAGTGGTCTCCAGCATCATCAGTTTTCAAACAATTCCATTCACTCCATGTGATATCAAGAAATGGTTGGAGGCACTGGATACTGCAAAGGCAGTATCAGTGTATCAATACCCTGACAACATTTCGGTAATCGTATTGATGTGCTTCCAAACTTGCAGCTCCCATAACCAAGCTGTTTCAGTACAGCTACAACAATGGCATCTATCCAACAATGGGAAAAATTGCACAGGTATATCCTGTACTCAAAAAGCAAGACAAATCCAAATCACCACCACATCAGTCTACTCTCGATCATCAGTAAAGTGATGGAAGGTGTCATCAACATTCTATCAAACAGCACCTTGCAGTCATACCTGGCACGTAGGAAGATGGTTGTGGTTGTTGAAGGATAGTCACCACAGCTCCAGGATATTTCTGCAGGAGTTCCTCAGGGTAGTGTCCCAGGCCCAACAGTCTTCAGCTGCTTCATCAACAACCTTACAACCATCCTCAGTACAGAAGCAGGGATGTTCGGCAATGATTGCACAATGTTTGCGACTCCTCAGATACTGAGGCAGTCCATGTTCAAATGCAGCAAGATCTGGACAATATCCAAACTTGCGCAAACAAGTGGCAAGTAACCTTCATGCTACACAAATACCAGGCAATGATTGTCTCTTATTGGAGATGACCTAATCACTATCCCTTGACATTCAGTGGCATTACCATCACTGAATTTCCCCACTATCAACATCCTTGGGGTTAGCATTGACTAGAAACTCAACTGGAATTGCCACATAAACACAGTGGCTACAAGAGCAGGTCAGAGGCTAGGAATCCTGCAGCAAGTAACTCATCTCCTAACTCGCCAAAGCCAGGCCATCATCTACAATACTGGAATACTCCCCACTTGCCTGGATGGGTGCAGCACCAACAACACTCAAGAAGATTGACACCATCCAAGACAAAGCAGCCCGCTTGATTGGCACCACGTCCACAAACAATGACTCCTTCCATCACTGACGCTCAGTAGCAGCAGTGTGTACAATCTACAAGGTGCACTGTAGAAATTCACCAAAAATCCTTAGCCCACTACTTTCAAACATCCAACAACTTCCATCTAGAAGGACAAGGGCAGCAGATACATGGGAACACCACCACCTGCAAGTTCCCCTCCAAGCCACTCACCATCCTGGCTTGGAAATATATCACTGTACTTTCACTGTCGCTGGGTCAAAATCCTGGAAATCCCTCCCTAATGGCATTGTGGGTCAACTACAGCATGTGGACTGCAGCAGTTGAAGGAGGCAGCTCATTACCACCTTCTCAAGGATAAATATGGACAGGCAATAGATGCTGGCCAGCCCAATGATGCCCACATCCCACAAATGAAAAAGAAACCTGCCCAGCAATAACCTGCTTAGTAACACCTTTAGGTTCCACAGGGGCCACTATGCTCCTGATATCATTACAACTTTGGTTCAGACATGGACAAAAGGGCTGAACTCTGGAGCTGAGATGAGACTGATTGTTCTTGACATCAAGGATCCATTTGAATGAGCAAGGAGCTCTTGTAAAACTAGAATTGGGCAAATCTCTCTGCTGGTTGGAGTCCATACCAGATACAAAGGAAGATACTGGAGGCCAATCATCTCAGTTGCAGGAAATCTCTGCAGAATGGATAATGTCCTGGGCCCAAACATCTTCAGCTGTGTCATCAATTACCTTCCCTCATCATAAGGTCAGAAGTGGGGATGTTCACTCATGATTGCACAATCTTCAGCACCATGCATATTTCCTCAAGAGTCCATGTCCAAGGCATGGATAATATCCAAGTTTGGGCTTATGTGGGGCAAGGAACATTCACGCCACACTAGTGTCAGACAATGACTTTCTCCAATAAGAGAGAATCTAACCATCGTCCCTCAACATTCAATGGCATTACCAACACCGAATCCTCCAATATCAACATCCGGGGGTTACCATTGACCAGAAACTGAACTGAACAATCTATTTGCATGCTGTGGCTACAAGAGTAGGTCAGAAGCTAGGAATTCTGCAACCAATAACTCACCTCCTGACTCCCCAAAGCCTGTCCACCATCTGCAAGGCACAAATCAGAAGTGTGATGGAATATTTCCCACTTGCCCGGATGCATCCAGTTCCAACCACACTTGAAGCTTGACACCATCCAGGACAAAGCATATGAGCTCGATTAGCACTACATCCACAAAAAAAAATCACTCCCTCCATGACTGATATTCAGTAGCAGTAGCATGTACCGTCTACAAGATGCACTGCAGAAATTCACCAAAGCTCCTCAGACAGTACCTTCCAAACCCACAGTCACAAAGTAGACAGAATTATGGGAACATCACCACCAGCAAGTTCCGCTCCAAGCCCCTCACCACTTGGAGATACATTGCTAGTCTTTCAGTGTCGAGGGGTTAAAATCCCAGAACTCACTACAGTATTGTGAGTGTTTCTACACCTAATGGATATCAGCAGGTTCAAGCAAGCAGCTCACTGCCACCTTCTCAAGGGCAACAAACGCTGCCCTGGCCCTCAAAGCCCAGCTCCTCTGAATGAATTTTTTAAAAACTCACCTCATTCACATACGGTTTGCTATTTTCCCAGACCGTGGAGAGAAACTAGATAGTGACAATTCCTAACATAAAAGCCTGAGCGGGTACCTGGCGGTTGCAGTTCACCAGTGCCATCGTCCACATTGTCAGCATTCCCCAACACCTCAGGGCACGCTCCATGGATTGCAACCGCCCTCACCCTCTGTACATGGAGGTAAGCATTGGCAAAGGATAAGCTCCACCTCATAATCACGGCACATTTGGGACTCAATTATTTTATAGTTCAGCCCTTCACTATTGCGCTTTGGAGCTCATGGGCATCCTACATTACAGTGCTGCTGCTTTGTGTTCAGGCACAGGTGCCCTCCCATTCCCCGTCATGCACCACACCAGGATGTATCTCAGGGCTCCTGGCTTGCTTTCTTTGTGATCCCTTTGCACTCAATTGGATGCGCTCAATCTCAGTCAGGACAAGTATTGAGGTGTCCCGAGTGAGTGAGTGAGTTGGAAGTGCAGAGGGCAGGCAGAGTTGGAGGCAGAACCATTGAGACAGTGAGAACCATTGAGGGAAGGAGCTATGCGCAGTAGTTAGAGTGATAGACCATAAGATTTGATGAGAAGTGGGAGCGATGGCAGAGTTAGAGTCAGTGTTAGGTAGCAGAAGGTCATTAACCTGCTTGAGGCATTGCAGCATTTTCCTTCGGACCACGAACATTGGCTACTTCACACCAGGCTGGCAGCATTTGAAATGATATGCAGCTGGGATTTAAAGATGATGCCAATTTTTGGGAAAATTCAGACCTTTCTTCCTACAGCTGAACACTAGAAATAATTCTGTCACCCTGTAGTGTTTGGAGCAGCATGCTTTTTGTCTGAAGTATTTTCCACTTCAGTGCAGGGCAGAAGTAACCATTAATTATTCTTCTCTGTTTCCATATAAACACACATGAACTTCTCTGTGCTTTCTTTCAGAGCAAATAGCAAAGGAGAGGAACAGGACAAAGGATGGTTTAGGTCATTATTTGTCCACAAAGTTAATCAGAGAAAAGATGCTCACTCCAATCTACTTTCCAAAAAGGAGACCAGCAGCTTGTATAAAATGCAGTGTAAGTGCAAACCACTCAGACCGGAACTTTGTCACTACATTAAAAGTCAACTAATTGTTTAACTCAAACTGAATTTTTTTTTAATGTTTGTCTTAGTTCATAATGTGAAGCCAGAATGTCTGGACGCGTACAACAATTTATCGTAAGTTCTTTACATCTTAACAATCACTTGATTGTATTTATACAGTGGCCCTGGTCTCTAAAGCAAGTACGATGCAATATTTTGTGTGTTACTAAGATGAATTCCTCCATACCACCACGTTTCCTAGGGTTGCTGATTTTCTTATTTTTATCAGATTAGAACTTTTAAATGTAAAGCCCATTTTGTTTTTGTCCAGTAATACTTCCAACATCTTTGGATTACATAAAATACCTCAGAAATAGTTAAATGAAAGATGCTTTATGCTGGAGCTTGTTATGGTCAGATGATAAATTGCCATTGACCAGCTCCAGTTGTTCACATGTAAATTCATTTACCTTATCCTACTCGCAGAATCTTGAATCCAGTTCTTTGTCATGTAGAGAAACTGAATTCAGTAAGGTAATAGATTGTCAAATTCCTCCAATCTGATCTATATTAATAGAGTCATGCAGCACGGAGACAGACCCTTCAGTCCAACTAATCTGTGCCGACTAGACAATCTGACTTAAGGGGAGGCAATGACCTAGTGGTATTATCACTGGACTGTTAATCCAAAGACCCAGATCACATTCTGGGGACCTGGGTTCGAATCTCGCCATGGCAAATGGTGGAATTTGAATTCAGTAAAATATCTGGAATTAAGAATCTAATGATGACCATGAATCTGTTGTCGATTGTTGAAAAAACCCATCTGGTTCACTAATGTCCTGTAGGGAAGGAAACTGCCACCCTTACCTGGTCTGACCTACACGTGACTCCAGACCCACAGCAATGTGGTTGACTCTGAACTGCCCTCTGGGCAATTAGGAATGGGCAATAAATGCTGCCCAGCCAGCGACACCCTCATCCCGTGAATGAATAAAGAAAAAACAACTTTGGTTCCTATCCCTTGAAACCTTTCCTATTTGTATACCCATCCAGATGTCTTTTAAATGTTGTAATTATACCCACATCCACTATTTTCTCTGGAAGCTCGTTCCGTACACGCACCACCTTTTGCATGAAAATTTTACCTGTTAGGTCCCTTTCAAATCTTTCCCCTCTCTCCTTAAACCTATGCCCTCCAGTTTTGGACTCCCCCATTCTAAGAAAAAGACCTTGGCTATTCACGCTATCCATGCCCCTCATGATTTTATAAACCTCTATAAGGTCACCCCTCAGCCTCTGACAGTCCAGGGAAAAAAAACCCCAGTCTATTAGGCCTATAGTTCAAATCTTTCAGTCCCCCGATAGCATCCTTTAAACAGAAACAAAATTACAACAGTTATCCAACTATAAGGACCCAATCTGGACATGGCACTTAACAGAAAAAGGAAGTACATCTTTTTATTTAAATTTCAGTAATACTATTCATTGTGATATTCATAAAGTAGAAAGATAAATAAAGTCTTCAATCAGTCAAATATAGTTTAATATCAACTTGTCATGCGTATGCATGTGGTCAGTTCTACATGTTGTTTAAATGTAATATCTTGTATTTTAGACTCCCATTGTAGGAATGTTTACATGTAACTACTAATTGTGTTCCAATTATAAAAATATTTAAAATATTTTATGCCCCACTAACACATTTCCACCTTATCCCTGGACCCATTAACATGTGTTTGGTTATTTTTTGTATGCTGTCACTCCAAATATTTTATAGTTGATCTCCAAATGTGAATCATGACGATGAAACCATATTTCATGCCCATGTCTAGTTGTCTTTCTTGAACCATTGAAGTCCTTGTAATGATGTCGATGCCACAATCATAGGTAGTAGGGAACTCTGAGGACTTCATCCAGTGAAGATGAAGCAAAGATCTAGCGTAAAGTGTGGGCCGTTTTCTTTTGCCCACTGTACTTTTTTAACAACAAAAACAAGTTGCTGGGAAAGCTCAGCAGGTCTAGCATCATCTGTGAATGAAAATCAGAGTTAATGTTTCAGATCCAGTGACTTTTATTTACTTTGTTAACAGCTGTTTTATAGCATTTATAGTCGCTTTTGAAACTGCTCCGGGGTCTTTAAGAATCACTCACATATTGTGAAACTGGGGACATGTGTTGTAGTGGTAAGTAAAGAACATTAGAAAAGCAGTTGGAACTTTACCACCTTTTTAGAAGATAGCCCACAAATGATTAATTTACACAACCTGTTTTGCTGGGAATTACCCAATCATTGGGTTGCTATGCTATTGTCCCAGCAGTTCCCAATGACCTTTGTCTTTCCTCTATGTGCTTGGGGTGTGCACATTTTGTCTAATTTCTTTTACTGGAATCATTCCAGCAGGTTCACATGGAGGTAAATTATTGTGGCTTCTTCGGAGAAATTAGCAGAGAAAGGAATATCAACGTTCTGTAGAAACTCACTGTGCACTGAGCATGATCATCTTGAGGACTTTTTTTATGACTAGTAAACATGATTCAGCAAAGAAAGGCATTATAAATTGTGTGGAGGCTTGTCTGTTTGCAGTTGCATAAGTTACTTTGATGTCAGCTTCTTATGCTTCAGGATGTGCTTACTTATGTCAAAGAAACTTTACCATGTACCTTACCAAACTTCAGTAACTTAATCTGTTGCTTCACTCAAAATAAAATGTAGTATGATTTCTTCACAGTCATGTGATCTGAACTTTGTGCAACACAGCACCTAATCCTTAACACCCTGGCAAATAGAATAAATCTTTGCATTAAAAGCTTGGTTTCATTTTCTGTTCAAGTATTAACAAGTATTAACAATCATATAGGGTGCTGTCCCTGTTTCAGTACCTTCCAAGTACTGTACAGTCTGTGTCATTTTGAAGTTTGAAAATTGTCGCAACCTCTCAGTGAGAAGTGTGGGAGCGGGAGCCTGTTTGAATGGGAATACAACTGCTCTAACGTGCTCAGGACTCCCTCAGCCATTGCAACCCCAATAGTTAACTCACAATCCTACTTGGGGTCCTGAGGTCCACTTTATGAAGTCCTGCTCTACTTCTGCAAGTATGAGACTGATTGATGATAGAACTGGAGCCTTATCCATTTTGAAACAAGGACATGGGATTACATACTGTTTGGAACTAGCGTCTTCATTTTTATAAAAGGTTAAAGTATTAGGTTGTCGCTGTTTGTATTTGGTTCCACTTAAGGATCCATTTGATGTGTCTAGATCTAGATTGTTTGTCTTTTGATGAAAAAAACACCTTTGTTAATGACCACAGGGAACAAATATTGCAGAAGCTACACAATGATCCTGACTACCCATGTGAGATCGTAGGGAGCTGGAATACCTTGTATGGTGAACAAGATCAAGCAGGTAAGTCCATCATTTAGCCCTAAATCGAATTGTTCTCTATTTAATATTTCCTCATTTTTCCCTCTGACCTTTTAATAGCTCCAACTATTTATTGTCTTTCTTCAGTTGTTATCACTCTTGGCCTCACTGTGGTAGATCCATTCAAGCCTGAGCCTGCCTTTGTGAAATAGATGCCAGTTACAGCAACCGACCAATTTCCATTTCAGCTGAAGTTAAAGACATGTTGGTGTGGAGTCAATGTTTCCACTCAACTCCAACAAACAACCTTCCTTCTCTGTCACCGTATTTTTACATTTCTTTACCTTGTTGAAACTTTTGCTCATTGTTCCCTGAAGCGTTCCTGTTTGCCCTGTTTTCTTTTTATCTTCAGACTAAATAAGCTTTTTAAAACTTCAGAAATACCTGAGCTGTGAGCCTACAATGGGTCATTAACTTTCACGTGCTGTTAGTGAGTGCTGAACAGCACTGTGAGGTACGTACACCACATGAACTGTAGACATTCAAGAAGGCAACTCACCTCCACCTTCTTGAGTTTAATAGGGAAGGGCAATAAATGTTACTGATGTACATAACCTGTGAAAGGATAAATGACATGTCATCAGATAATAAATTACCAGTTGCCAACTGTAATTGAAGTTGCACTGGCATGATAAACCTCTAAAGATTGCATTATATGAATTAGAAACTTAAAATGCTGGAAATATTCAGCAGGTTAGATTGAGCGAAGTAGTGTTAACCCAAATACTCAAAACATTGCCTGAATTTTCCTGCTCTGTTTGGAAGGGATGGGGCCAGGAAAATAAGGGGGAGTCATAGTGAGATGTTCAGGAGCATTCCCTTGGGAAATGGGTTAGCTGCTTGCTCCGAGGAGACGGGCAGCTAGTTTGCAAGGTTAAGATCGCAGTCAGCGGAAGTTTTGCAATATCACCACCATTGTGCCAACTGGGAGGCCAGCAATCCCAATGAAGCAGGCCAGAGGGCATCTGAGCTGAAGGCTATATGCTGTGAAGAGAGGACTGCATTAACAAAATACTCCAATCCCAGCAGATCCCCTCCATTCTAAATTACCTGTCAATAACTAACCTGGCATTTTAATTAATCATGTGCAGGCCAGCAAAAGCCTTTCCCTGAGGTACCCAGACAGTGCCCTCATCTCCCTGTCGGGCAGCTCAGGATTGGGAGCTGCTGGCAGTGTGACCCCCTCCCTCATCGCCTGCTCTGATGAGATAGCTGGTCAGAGTGACTGGCCTGGAGCCTGTAAAGGACCCAGTCATTGGCCCATGGACTCTAAGAGGGGTCAATAGCTGGCCCAGGGAGACCATGCTGAGGGCAAGGAGAGACAGAGTTGAGGGGGGTGCGTGCTGTGCTCGAGTCGGTGTGGGGTTGGGGGTGCCTGGGGCCAATGACTGCTACTGAGGAGCCTCCTATGATTCCAATACCAGCGTGCCAAAGCCCGTGGGAAACTTCTATCTGTTAATGCTGTTGACCTCTCTGCATGGATGCTGCCTAACCAACTAGTATTCCCAGCATTTTCTGATCAGGTTTCAAATTTTCAGCAGTATTTTTGCCTTTTATAATATACTTTTATTCCTGGCAGGCATTTTTTGTCAACTCCAAATTACCTTTGAGAAGGTGCTGATGAGCAGCTTGAAATGCTTTGGTGTGTCTGGTAGTACCCATGATGCTGTTAGGGAGGGAGCTCGAGAACTTGGATGCTGAAGGAATAGCAATCTATTTCCAAGTCAGGGTGGGGAACAGCTTGCAAGTGGTGGGGTGGCCAAACTTCTACTCCCCTTTCCTCTTCATGCTGGTAATCTTTGGTTTGGAAGGCACCTTGGTGAGTAGCCACAGTGCATCTTGTAGATGTGGACTGGTGGTGAAGGGAGTGAAGATTTAAGGTGGTGGATGTGGTACCACTCAAGCGGGCTGCTTTGTCCCAGATGGTATCAAACTTCTAGGGTGCTGCTTGAGCTTCTTTCATCCAGGCAAGTGGGGAGCATTCCATTACGCTTCTGATTTTTATGCCTTGTATATAATTATCAGACTTTGGAGAGTCAGAAGTTGTTACTCATCAGAGGATTCCCAGGCTTTGAGCTTCTCTTGTGGCCACAATACTGATAAGGCTTGTGCAGTTACATTTTTGGTTTATAGTGGCTTCCAGGCTGTTGATAGTGAGGGATTAACTAATGCTAATGCTGTTGAACATCAATAGGAGATGTTTATACTGTCCTTTGGTGACAGTCACTACCTGGCACTTTGTGGGATTGACTTTTACTTGTCACTATTAGCCAAGTTACATGTTGTCTGTGTCTTGCTTTGTGCTGATGCAGCTTGCTTCATTATCTCAAAAGATGCAATTGGTACTGAACATTACTCAATCATTGGCAGGCACCCCTCACTTCTGACATTATGATGGAGAGAATATCATTGATAAAACAACTGAAAATAGTTGAATCTAGAGCATTGCTGTGAGGAACTCCTGCAATAATGGTTTCTGTTCCTGACCTGGTCTCCTGCACTCATTGAACCAGAGCTGGCCTGCTGATGGAAATGGCAGACTGAGGGAAATGTTGAGCTATGAGGTTACATTCAGATTGCATTCAGTTCTGCTATTGGTTATGACCTACAATGTCTAAAAGATGCCCAGTTTTGAACTGCCAGATCTGTGTTAAATATATCCCATTTAGCACAAAGGTGCTGTCATGCAATATGATGGCATCCTCAGTGTGAAGCCTCTACAAGGTCTCTGCTTACTAGACTAATACCGAGAATGAATGGATTGCCTTATGAGGAAAGGCTGGACAGGCTAGGCCTGTATCCACTAGAGTTTAGAAGTGATTGAAACACGTAAGGTTCTAACAGGACTTGACTGAGAGGATGTCAAGAGGATGTTTCCTCTTTTGGGAGAATCATTTATGACAGAGTTGATGGAAAAATATCTATCGAGTGTATCAGTCTTTGGAATTCCCTTCCTGAAAATATTGAATATTTTCAAGGCAGAGGCAGATAGATTCTTAATTACTAAGAGGTGAAAGATTATGTGCAATAAACAGGAATATACAGTTGAGGTTAAAATTGGATCATCCATGATCTTGTAAAATCGTACAGCAGGATAAAAGGGCTGAGTGGCTTACTCTTGTTCCTTGTTCATATGTGCGCTAGTTACTACCTCCAATACTGTTGCAGAGGACAAATTTGATTAGATATTCCCCTTGTACAGGCAGTGTCTCCGACTGCCACAGGCCCTATCTGCAGATATGTCCTTCAGGACACATTCAGTAGTTGTGCTACTGAGTCGCAATTGGTGATGGACATGAAGTTCCCAGACGGAACACATTCACTGCCCTTGCCATCCATACAGTTTCTTTGAAATGGTGTTCAACATAGAGGAGTACTGATTCATCAGCTGAGGAAGGATTTAGCTGAGAATTCACAGGCGGTTTCATCACCACTGTTTTGCCTAATACCACAAGAGATCATCAGGTGAGTAGTCAATGTAGAGGACTCCCAAGGTCATTCCCTCCAGACTGTATAACGGGGTGCTACCACCTCCAGTGGATCTGTCCTGCTGATGAGATAGGACGTACTTATTAGGGGTGGAGATCCAGGATAATGGGACATTAGTTCTAAGGTAGGATGTGGTCAGTATGACTGTCAGGCTGTTCCTTCACTGGACTGTCATAAAAGGCATGGTGAACCAGGTTTTTATGACATTCTGGTCATTTCATGATACCCATTATGAATATAAATTGTTTTATTCCGACTGCATTTAATTAACTGAATTTAAATTCTCCAGCTGCCATGGTGGGATTTGAACTCAGTTTTTCACATCGGTAGTCCAGACCTCTGGATTACTAATTCAGTGACATGAGCAGTATGTGACTGTTCCTCAGCAAAGATTCATTGTTGTGAAGGAAGTCCTCAAAATGCCCGTGGCATATAATTTATTACTGAGTATTACCAATTCTTTTCTTTCATACTGTAACACCTTTTTTTGTGTACACGGCAAATTTGTCATTTTTATTTTGCACAGTGCATTTGTGGCGGTTTTCTGGTGGTTATCCTGCTTTGACAGATGCTATGGAGAAGCTATTACAGAATAAGGTAATAGATAAAAGCCAATCCCTAAGTCATCCAGCCTCAGACAGTTAAATTTAGTTTCATTTTAGACAGCCAACATTACTCTGTACACATGCTTATATTTTTCTAATCAGTGGTGTATAAATGAGCAACTGGGTATTTGGAAGAAGGTTGGGTTCAGACAAATGTACTTATGCTAATTTGACCTGCGTTTTGTGTGTTTTCTATGACTGTAAGATATGCTAATGTAAAGGTTAAAAATGACTGCCATTCTTAAACAAATTTCAGACAACCAGATATCACTGCTGCTAAGGACAGCTTTGTCCTCCTGAACTCACTACATCAATTGATACAAGTGAGAACTCCTTCGTCCTCCAGCATTTCACCTTCATGATTGTGCTCAGCTTGCTTCCTGGTGCCCTGCCCTAATGTAGCAGGCACATCTACTTCTGGTCTACAATGGCTTCTCCTCAGGCACGTCCCATGTTTCACCATTGGGCACATTTCCTCCTTTTACATGCTGCCCCATTTGCGAAGACATCCATTAGGTATAGGTTCAGCCACCATTTGTATATTGACACTTATTTCTGTATTGCTATACTTAATTCCACCACTGTTTCGTCCAACTGCCTGTAGCATATTCAATCATGGATGAACATTCCATAGCTAAATACCAACAAGATTGGAAGTCATTTAAGAAGACCACACTTGGGTCTTTGACTGCTCACTCAGGCTTCATTATTGATGCCTGTTTCGTTCTTACCTGAACTTCAAATTCCATATCTCAATCAACACATTTTGGTGGCTACTATCTTCTCATTGCCAACCACCACACTTTCCCCCCTCTCCCCGCCCCCTACCCTGCCACCACCCTCTCCTCAGCTGCTATTCATCACTAAGATTCTCATCTATAAAATCATCTCTGTTAGGCTTAACCATTCTAATGCTTCCCCGGTAAATCTTGGTCTCCTTATGTGCACTTGTCCTTTTCAACTTCCATTTGATTGCCCCGACATTCAAATCCACTCCCTCATTCAGGTTTCTTATCAGTGGCCTTATCTTTCATCATCCTCTGGAATCCTGCTTTAAGTGCCAGCACTACCTGAATTACTTGAATCGCTGATCTGGATTCTGCAGGAACCCCATCTCACTCCCTACCTCACCAGCCCTCCTCAAACCCTGACTGCTATCATGCAGTGATTTAATGCCGGATGCAGTATTAATTGTTTTTAAGGCGGGTCTTGCACCTCTGTCTCACAAGGAAGTCCTGCCTTAGAGCACTGCCTGCCCCATTTGGAGTGGTCGACAGCTACTGGGAGTACAGGCAGTCCCACCTCTGTAGGGTCCAGACAACCTGCAATTGGACTCCCTGTCACAGGCCTCCCCTGCCTGCCCCACCGTCCCCATTGTGGCTAAAATACCCTATAGGTGGTAAGATGAGGCTTTTAAATGGCAGTGAATGCACTACTAGGGGCCTCAATGTGTCCAAAGGTAAGTGAGCCACCCAGCACCTTCCCCACACCCCATGAGATGTCAGACAGGTCAGGTTAGGTAGTAGAAAGGTCACCTCTCTGCATTGTCAAACCTGCCAGTGCACTGGTGTGTAATTTATTCCATTGTCCTATTACAGCCACTCTGGCCACTAACACCACGGTACTTTCCCTAAGACTCATTGTCTTGTTACCTCTTCCAAAACTCTGCAGTTACCCCATCCTCCAATCAGCTTTCCTAACTTGGTTACTAGCCACCCACTATCCCAGAGGGCTGCACTCACATTCGAGCGAGACGGCCGGCAGTGGAGGGTCACCACACCTCAGATGAGGAGTGAGGTTGACAATGTGGTACCTGCGTGGTAACCTCAGCCAGTGCAGGAATTGAATCCACACTACTGGTATCACACTGCATCACAAACCAGTCATCCAGCCAACTGAGCTAACAACCCCCAGCTACTAGCACCACTTGGTGTCTCAATTCACTTTGCTGAACTGCTTTGGGATGTTTTATTAAGTTGGAAGTGGTACACAAATAAAAACAAGATGCTGTTATGTAAGGCTACTTTGTTTTAATCAATTTACTGGAAACGTTGAGATTGTCTCTCACATAATTCCCATTTGAAAATCTGATTGTTAGTGTCCAATATTATGAGTTTGGATGATTGTTTTCCATATGTTTCAGGAATATTTGGAATATCGAAAGGAGAGGAGCAAGATGTTGCTGTCTCGTAAAAACCAGCTACTGTTGGAATTCAGTTTCTGGAATGAACCATTACCAAGACCGGGACCTAATATTTATGAACTTAGGACATATTTTTTAAAGGTACATCACTCTAAGAGAGAATGTACTGTTCAGTATCTCATTAATACTAGCACTAGATTTAAAGCATAGGAAATGGATAGCTGCTGCAGAGAATTGTCATATGTCTGATGGGCTATCATATTCTGTGCCTGTGAATTTCCTGAATGCCTGGCCACCAACTGAATATCACAAACTGCCTGAAAATGAAACTGTATCCTTCGACTGAAATTTTACTCCAAATAACACATTGTGGTGCAATTTACATGACATTCCAACAAATACAGTTGTATTTTGTTAGAAGTACACTATTAAACTGCAAATTTGAGATGGAATTTCAATCAGGTTATGGGGCTAAGTTGGCTGCTTCCCTTTAAAGCAATATTTGCTTTCTCCATCACAGTCTGTATCGAATAACACAGACATCTGAATGTTAGTCTCCGCCTGTCTCACTCTCTATGACACTGACTTGAGGCGACTCATGCCTTTTCTTTAGTCTCCTTTCTGTTTGAGAAGCAGTAACTCTGCACTCAGTTTCTCCTACTGAAAGAAATCAGTATGTGGGGAACTTGAAAACACTTTCTCCTGACTACTCTCTCATGTCATAGGCTTTAAAAGGCGAATCAGAGATGCTGCTGCATATTGCCAAGAAATCTTAGTGTTAGGGTTTAGAAGAAGGGTGAGGGGCAAGTCTTTTTTGACAACAAATCATTACCTCATTTTGAAATTGCAAGTAGAATAACGTATGATACGTGCCTGATACCCTTGTGTACTTTGATCATTGATACACTTTGTATATATAAAGCAGACCTGGCAAAAAAATCAGTGCATTTATTAGAGGTTTGACAAGTGGAATGTACGTGCTATTTCTTGACTGTGAGTTACAGTGTACCTTTTTAATTTATGAGGATGGAGCTAGGACTCAGTACATTATTTGCTTAAAGTGATTTAAGTGATTTATTTTAATCCAGCAATAATCAGTTGTTCAATGAATCTAATACTAACTGTGATTTATTTTCTCCTCGCTTTTAGCCGGGGACCATGATTGAATGGGGAAACAACTGGTAAGTAACTGTTTATAGACTAGCTAAACTTGAATGGATTCTAAGTGTTATTTGCCATTATTGGAATATGGGGAGGCATGATTGAAATTTGAAAAATCTAGTTGCAACACCAGCAAAACTAATGCAAAGGTCAATCTTAGGCCTGAACAATCAGTTTGGTGACATTAAAAAATGGAACATTTTTCTGTTCTTCAAAATGATTTATAAACATGTTGTCTTTGAAGATTGTTAAAATTAATTCTTGAAATGATGGCATCACTACAAAGGCTAACATTTCTTACCTATCCCTTATTATCCTTGAGAAAGTGATGGTGAGCCACCTTCTGGAACAGCTGCCATCACTAGCGATACAGCTATGCTGCTGTTAAGTAAGGTGTTCCAGGATTTTGATCCAGCAACAATGAAGGAATGACAATAGAATTCCAATTCAGGATAGTGTGTGACTTGACACGGATTTAGTAATATTCCCATGCACCTGCTGCCATTCCCATTCTAGGTGGTGGAGGTTATAGGTTTGGAAGGAGCAGTCAAAGATGTCTTGGTGAGTTGCTACCTTTCATCTTGAATACGATACACATTCCTCCATGATCTGGCACTGGTGCGATGGTGTGAATAATTAAATTGGAGGACATGAAAAAATGGTAGACACCAGAATCTAAATAAGAACAAAAAATGGAAGGGAAAACTCAGTAAGGTTAGGTGATATTCTGTCAGATGAAATAGAATCTCCTTTCTGGACAAGATGAGCTTAAATTAATGGTCACTGACCTGAAAGGTTAATCCTTGCTTCTCTCCACACATACTGCCTGACCTACAAAATATTCATCCAATTCTTGTTCTAAGTTATAAGATGCCAGTCAATCTGGCTAGTTTATCCTGGTTAGCGTTGAGCTTCTTGGGTTCTGTCTGAAATGCACTCGTCCACGCAAGTAGGAAGTACTCAAGAATACACCAGACTTATGCTTTTTCAGATGGTAGAAAGGCTTTGGACCATCAGGGAGTGAGTTACTTGCTGCAAAATTCCCAGCCTTTCACCTATTCAGGCCAAAGTATTTATGGAGCTGGTCCAGTTAATGGTAACAATGGTGCACAATATTCATGATCAGTGGATTCAACAATAGTAATGCTGTTGAATACTACTATCGGGGTGGTTAGGCTCGCTTGTGTTTGCAGGTGGTCATTGCCTGCCACTTGTGCGGCGCAAATGTTAGTTGTCGCTAATCAGCCCAAATCTGAATGTGGTTCAGATCTGTCTGTATGTGAGCGTGGGTTATGACTTAATCACAAAAAGAACATTGTGCAGTCAAGAGCTAGCGTTTCCATTAATGATGGAGGGAAGATTACTAATGAAGCACCCAAAGACGGTTGGACCTAAGATGCTATCCTGAGGAACTCTGCATTCTGGGGCAGGGAAGATTAGCCTCCAGCAACCTCAGATTCAATGGATGATGGCAGACATTGGAGAGCATTCCTCAAGATTCCCACTGATTTCAGTTTTACTACAGCTTTTTACCACACTTGGCCAAATGCTGCACTGATGTTAAGGACTTCCAGCCTACCTCCAAACTTCAACATTTTCATCAATGTCTTCATCCAAGCAGTGATGTAATCTGGAACTGGTGAAACCCAAACAGAATATTAGTGGGTTATTGCATCTTGGTAACAATTTGATGACACCAAGCATCATTTTTGCTGATGATTAAGAGGAGGGGCTGATGGGGCGGTAATAGCTTGGCTGAATTTCTTCTGCTTTTTATCAACAGGGCACAAATGGACAATTTTCCTCATTGTCAGGGGAGTGCCAGTGTTGTAGATGCACTGGAGTAGCTTGGCTAGGGTGCGCCCAGTTTTGAAAGACAAGTCTTCAATATTACAACTGGAATGTTGTCAAACCTGCAGCTTTTGCTGAATCATGTGCCTTCAGTCATTTTTTGATATCACATGGAGTGACTTGAATTGACTGAAAGTTGGTATCTGCATTGCATTGCTTCTGGATGAAGATGATTGCAAACAAGTATTCAAACACAGTTTCAATTGTAAATGAATATGCAAACACAATTGTCTTGCCTTTTGAACTCATGCTTTTAGCAATGCCATCATTGAGGTTAGGAATAGTTGTGGAGCCTCTTCCTCCAACTAGTTGTTTGATTGTTCACAACCATTCTCCTCTGGATGAGCATGGACTGCCAAGATTTGGTCTGCTTCATTATTTGGCATTACTTAGGATTTATACAGAACTATTGCTACTGTTGCAGCCCTGATTTGTAGCTTCACCAAACTGATGCCTCATTATTAAATATCCCTGATGCTGCAATTGCCATGCTCTTCTATTCTCCTCATTACTTCAAGGTTGGTCCTCTGGCTTAAGAGTAGTCATAGAATGAAGACTATGCCAGGTTATGAGGTTATAGGTTGTGTAGAATACAGTTCTTCTGATGGTCTGTAGTACCTTTACATATTTCACTTAGTGTGGTGGTACTGTTACACAGGGGGTTGGTTAGCTCAGTTGGCTGAATGGCTGGTTTGTGATGTTGAGTGATGCCAGCAGCTTGCATCTAATCCCTACACTGGCTGAGGTTACCATGAAGACTCTCCTTCTCAACCCCGTTCCTTTCTCAAGACATGGTAACCCTTGGGTTAAACTTTCTGTAATGAGATAGTAGCCTTATGGTCTGTTAGGACTGTGGTGACTTTACTGTTACATTATGCAATGTGTGTTATGCTCAGCGTAAAGATTTCCACAAGGATTGTGCGTTGGACCATTATTTTCAATAATGTCACAGATGGATGCTTTCGGACCAGATAGATTGGTAAAGGTGATGTTAAGCAGGACTTTCCCTCATTTTGGTTCTCTCATCGCATTTCGTAGGCCCATTCTGGCATTCTGGGTCTGTACTTGGAGTTTGGAAGGATTGGGGAAATCTCATTGAAACTTACAGAATAGTGAGAGGCCTGGATAGAGTGGACGTGGAGAACATGTTCCTGCTTGTAGGAGAGACTAGGACTCGGGAACACACGCTCAGAGTGAAGGGACGACCCATTAGAACTGAGAAAAGGAGGAATTTCTTCAGACGTGATAAATCTGTGGAACTCATTGCCCTAGAGGGCTGTGGAGGCCAAGTCATTGAGTGTATTTAAGACAGAGATAGATGGGTTCTTGATTAGGAAGGGGATCAAGGGTCAACGGTTACAGGGAGAAGGCAGATGAATGGGGTTGAGAAACATATCAGCCATGATCAAATAGTAGAGCAGACTCGATGGGCTGAGTGGCCTAAGTCTATTCCAATATCGATGGTCTTGCATGTCCTCCAGGTGAAAGAGAATAGTGTTGCTACTGAGCTACTCTTGATTATTAATATTCAAGTTCACCAACCAGAGGACATTTAGTGCCCAAATAGTGTTCAAAATGGATGAGCTCTGATTCATCAGCTGAATGAAGGGTTTCCTTGCCCATGAGACATCATAGGCTGTACAGTCAATGTTGAAGCCACCCAGGGTCAATCCTTCCTTAGTGGTAGACCATTGTGCTAACATCAGTGCAAAAAGACATTGCCAGGGATATGTGATAGAAGAATTAGGCTTCTGGCTGAAATATGACTCTGAAAGTATGACCATGTCAGATTATTCCTTGATCAGTATGTGGCACAGCCCACCTATGCCCCAAAGCTGTCATTGAGGTGGATATTGTAGGACTGACTGGGGGTGTTGGGAATATGCTTGGGTCAAGACCGGTTGTTCTGTTCATTGTTCGTTTTTAATCAAACTGAAAGTGTTATGATACACCTCCAGGGCAGGTGGGACTCAAACCCAGCCTTTCTGACCCAGAGGTAGGGACACCACCGCTGCATCCCAACAGCCCCATGCAGCTTTATTCTTCTTAGACTTTCTGTGATTGTTTTATATAATAGATGGATATGCTCAGATATTTCAGAGGCCAGTTAAGGGTTATCTGCATTGCACTTGATACGGAGTCATGTGTAGACCAGACTGGATGGGGATGACGGTCTTTCTTCCCTGAAGGACGTGAGGGAACCGTGTGATATTTTATGACAATCCATCAGACTCATGGTCATGGAGCTGAATCTTGTCAAGGTGATGAGGGGCTGCACTGCCAGCAGGATAGCTTGCAAGAGCTCCATGCTGCAATTTTGTCATTCAGACTCTTCTCAGTGGTTGGCCATTCCCAGTGTGAAGGGCAGGGGTGTATGTCTCCCTGCCATGAGTTCCATTAAACAGCAGGATGGACAAGGAGCTGGTGGCTGCAGCAGGTATAGCACCAACCCAAATCCTAGGATCACCACTAGATCCTAGGCTAGAGGCGAGTGGTGATGGGAGGCATGGGGAGGTTGGCAGCAAGGGTGGATAGATCTCAGTAAGACCTCTTCCTGATACCAGGCCCTTCAATCAGATATTGACCCTGAATGTTGAGACCCCCAGCTCGCCCCTGGGTTAATAACAGCGGTAGCAAGATGAAGCTCCTAATCAGGGCCTAATTGTCACTTTAAGGCCTCAGTTGGCAGTAGGCCTGGGAGACGATCAAGGTGATTCCATGCCCAGGAATTAATTGGAAGTGGGAAGGTAGCGGAATCCCTACCCACCACCTGCCTGCCTTCCTGCCACCAAAACTATCTCAGGGCACAAAATTCCACCCACAACTATGGACATTAGCATTTATTTCAGATTTAATTGTTAACCCATTTAGGTTACGATCTCCAGCTGCCCTGTTGCAATTGGAATTCAAATTTCCTAATCATTGACCATACTCCACATTTCTCTGCCAGCAACATAACCACTATTCCTGGGTTTGTCTGCAGGTAATCCCCCCAGTGTATCCATCATTTCTGTATGTCCGTCAAATTTCAAGCTGCTTTCAGTCAGTGTTACTCAGTTTATTGCAGTTGTTTGAACTTACACTACTGCACTACAATTCTTAAATCAGTTTTTAAAAACGTCCACAAACACTGGGAGAGGAAACAGTTTTAGGTTCTTGAAGGAAAAGG